AAAGGCTCTGGTCATCTATTCAATCAGGGGAAACACAGATAAGAAAGAAAGTGTTTCATTCGGTCCCTCACGCTCAGCATCTCCGTATTGTTCAATTGTTAAACCCGTCGCTCCCCCAAGACACACAGTGTATTGACCGAGATAAGAAAGCCTCCATTCTTGTGTGCCTGCTGTCAGTACAGGTATTGAAAGAAATCACATCGATCTAAATTTGACTCCAAGTGGAAGGGAAGAGGGTCATCTGAACTGGGACCGAGAATGATGTCACTGTGCCAATGATAGCTTTTTCCTTCCTTCCTGTCCTGCTAGAGCTAATGCCTCACCTCCAAACACTCTCTCCTCTGGGTGCCTATCAGAGTAACCCCACATCTGTTTGTTCCTCTCACACTGGGTAACTGAAACAATATTTCCACAAGAGAAGTACAGTTCCTGAATATTTGCTCACAGTCCCTGGCATATATCAGGAGACATTCTCAAACATTTCTTGCTATAAGTGAGTAAAAATAAATGATTTTTGTTTGAAAATTCAATATTTGACAATTTGTGGATTTTTTTTTCCCATAGGTACTCCCCAAATAGGGACGGGGAAAGTTTGGAAACAAATCCAATACTTGTTAAAGTCACGGACAATGATTTGGATGGATAACAATTTTCAAGAACCCCTCCCCCCAAAAAAAACCCCAAAAACCAAAAACAAAAAACCCGGAGATAGGATGGAGATCTGAGCCAAATTTAAAAATAAGAAATTGAATCTTCAACCACGCACCTTCAAGATGGAAGAGAAACGGTTTATCAGCAGCATATGCAAATATAACTAAATTTTCCTCAGCTATGTTGTTTGAGTGCCAGAAAGGCTAATGCGATTCTAGGCGCATTTTCTATGCTTCCACAGAAACATACAGCAAGGGGGAAAAAAAGGGAAGCAATAACTTCCCTCCGTTTTGAGGTGACACCCTGTGGGCAACGAGTTGATGAAGAGATGCGAGAGAGCGTCCCAGGGGTAATTTTAGAACTCTTGGCAAATCTAACAAGAGGAATCTGGTTAGCCTCGGTGATGGCCGGGAGAGGGCTGAGGGTGTCATGCAACCAATGGGAGTTTGCAACTTGGTGAGTCGCCAGTAGAAACTGCACCCAGGTGAGTTGTCACACAAAGGAAACTTGACCTGCAACAAATAAGGAGATCCCAAGGGTATAACCTCCAAAGGCGTGACTCCTCAAGCAAGGGCAGATAGGCTTCTTTTAGTTGGGACTGGGGTGAATATTTAAAAGGCAGATCCTTGTCACCCTATGTAGGCGTGGGCATAAGGTTGAACACGCCTAGCCGTAATTTGTATGTTATGTAAACGAGGCTTGTGCTCCTCCTCAGGATCACGAGAGAAAGGTAGCTGTCGGTAGTTCTGGAGGTCACTCCATGGCCCTTCTGTGCAGACGTGAGGAGGGGTTTTGGCTCAAGCTGGTCTGGGTGGTCTGGGCAGGCTGGAGGTCTTGTTAGAGGGGGGTTTCCGGTATTATGGGCCTGAGTCAAGAGATGAACTGGAAAGAAGAGCTGAAGGGAAAAATGGGGGACAAAAGTCAGTGCGTATAAGCAGGTGCGCAGTGAAAGGGCAGGTCTTGGGGTCTAGCTGGTGACGAGATCACTAGATAAACACTTAAAGCCTGATTATGTGGACCAGTGGACACTGATGGCCGCAGCAGACAGAACCAGAAATAGTATATAGAAGCTGCAAAAAGACGGGTTTGAATTCAGGGAAAGCAAGAACTTTCTTCCGTCTTTTTTTTTTTTTTTTAAGATTTTATTAATTTATTTGACAGATGGAGATCACAATTAGGCAGGGAGGCAGGCAGAGAGAGAGAGAGAGGAGGAAGCAGGCTCCCCACCGAGCAGAGAGCCCGATGTGGGGCTTGATCCCAGGACCCTGGGATCATGACCTGAGCCAAAGGCAGAGGCTTTAACCCCGAAAGGAAGAACTTTCCAGTAGAGTTGCCTCTCTACGGGCATGGAGGAGTGAGGTTCTCAAGTTGGATATATGTTCAAGAAGAGGCTGCATGGCCCCTTACTGGGTCAGTCTCGATGGGTCACTGAGGGGTCTTGTCTCGCTGTGGCTATGATTCCTTGCCCTGTGGTAAAATAGAGCCAACTGGCATGAAAGAAGGGACGTGCAGTGTAAGATCTCTGAAGGGGGACAGCCATCAGTATCTTCCACTCTCCCGGGGGCCTGAGGACAAAGCCGGCAACTGTCAGGTGCCAGAAGGAGGTGGCTGTGGAGGCAGTTGTGTCCCTCTGGTATTCTTCAGACTTGTTTTAGTGCATTCTGAGTTTTCAGATTTTCTTTTTTTTTAAGATCTTATTTATTTCTTTGAGAGCGAGAGAGCACTGAGGGAGAGGGAGAAGCAGACTTCCCACCGAGCAGACAGCCTGACTCGGGACTCGATCCCAGGACCCTGAGATCAGGACCTGAGCCAAAGGCAGCCACTTATTTGACTGAGCCACCCAGGCGCCCCGGGCTTTCAGCTTTTCTGTTCCTGATATAAATCTATCACTCTACGCCACTGTCCACACACACACACACACACACACACACACACACACACACACACACACACACACCCAAGCCCTTCGCTAAAGCAGGAGGAAATGCATAGGAAACATATAAAAGAACTGAGCTAGACTCCAAGCTGGGGCTTCCTCTGCCCTGTCCCAGGAGTAAATAAATCTATTTCACTTTATCTTTTAAAAAAGATTTATGTGTTTATTTGAGAGCGGGAGCGGGGAGGGGGAGCAGAGGGAGGAGAGAGAATCTTCAGCAGACTCTGAGCCTTGCTCAGAGTTCGCCGTGGAGCTTGATCTCACGACCTGAGAGTAAGCCACTTCTGAGCCACTGAGCCAGCCAGGCGCCCCTACATTTCACTTTCAAAGGTTAGGCTTGGTACCTAAAGTTGCACTGTTTGGCCGGATTGATTTTTCTCATCAAAATCGACTGTTTGGAGACAACTGTATGCATTTGCTGCTTAGTTTCTTTAAATGTTCTGTGGTACATACACAGCCTGAATGGAGATAAGAATCTCAGGCAGAAAGTTATTTTTGCCGTGGGGTGGAAGGAACATTAGATCATTCAGCTGAACAACTCTGCCACGGAGATCATAATAGCACCACTCCTTAGGGTTGTGAAAATGAAGTAAGTTAATACATGTGAAGAACTTACATCGATACCAGGTGCATACAAAACAAGTTTTAGTGTTTTTATATACTGTTTTGGGAGTCCTTTCGACCACCTCCAGGATTAGTAATTTGCCAGAAGGACTCATGGGCCCCAACAAAGCTGTTACGCTCAGTTATGGTTTGTTACAGCGAAAGAATACCGATTAAAGTCGGCAAAGGAGAAAAGTGTGCTGGGTGGAGGGCAGGTGCTCTGGACCCCTCGCACGCTGCCCAGTTGTCCTGATAGAGCTTAATTCTCTCGGCAATGTGTGACAACACTCACCAGGTGTGGCCAACCGGGGAAATTCACCAATGCCTTGGTGTCCAGAATTTTTGTGGGAGGGGAGGAGCCCATCACCCAGACATGCAGTCCTCAGCTCCTCCTTCCCCACCTGCCACCATGAGAGGTCAAACTGACATGGTGTGTCCCCACACCCAGATGTACAAAAAAGGCATTCACAGTTAATCACGTTGTTGGAATGAACTAAGGCATGGCCCAAAGTCTCAGGCACACAAAGACACTTCTCTCAGGTGGGATACTCCAAGGGTTCAGAACAGCCGGTCAAGGGACATTTGGAATGGGGAGGCTTTGGGTGACTCAGGCTCCTGAGTTAACATGTTACTGCACATTATCAAATACAACCATCTTCTTAAGGCTTGAAATACTTTTTTTTTTTTTTTTTTTTTTTTAGTATGTGACCATTTATTGAGTGTTCATCACATGTATATTTCTTATAACCTTCTCTCTATGAGCTGGAAAATAATTTCAGTTTCAATCCACGTTGTAGAACCAAAAAAGAAACTCATTATCCAGTATGAGAGGACATATCAGAAACTAAAGATCACTGCTATCATTGCAATAATGGTGATGCTAGAATGCTCCATACATTCTTAACTAAAATTCCATGTCAAAGGCTTTGTGAGCATTACTAGTTTCAGTCCTTATCAACAATTGTGGGAGGGAGGTAATAGTTGTGATTTGCTGGTGAGAGAGTAAAGGTGCAGAGAGTTTTAAGAACCCGCCCAAGGGCTCTTCAGTCAGTAAAGGGCAGAGTCTGCATTTACCGACCTGATTCCAAGCCTCATAGTCTTAACATCACACACGATAGTTTGCTATGACATTGAAAAGCAAGGGCTCTAAAAAGTATTAGGAAACATTAAAAAACTCCCAACAAGATTTATTTGATTTGATGCATCTCAAGATCCCCAGAATGTTTAGACACCGGGGCGGGGTGGGGGGGCAGATTTGTTGCGAGAACACGTGTTGCTTTTACCGACAGAGATCTCGGCCAAGAAAATTCTAAGATGCCTCTCCCTATAAAAGGCAAAAAAAAAAAAAAAAAAAAAAGCAAGAAAAAGAGAGATACCAAAAAGAGGAAAATTATATAGTTATTTTGAGTGTTTTGATTCTTAAGGGGAGCATAAAATCTGAATGTTGTCCAAGATTCCAACATTGTTGCCACCGTGAATTGTCTGTAATTGTATCTTTCTCCTTCTCATTTATTAGATCTCAGTCCGTGGTAGAAGCTGGGACCCTGAAACATGAGGAGAAGGGAGAGAATGACAACACTCAGCCCCTCCTCGCTCTGGACTGAACCCCGAGTCACCCCATGCTCTCGCAGATCGCCAGCCTGCAGTGGATCAGACACCCAGGAAGCGCGTGTGCGCAACTGACCCACAGGGACACGTGCGTTCCGCTTGACACAAGGCCCTCCACTCCCACCACCTAGTGATGACTGTCACCAGCCATTGGTCTGAGCAGCCAAAGTTGAACAAAGACTTGAGAGATTTTTTTTTTTTCTTCTTTTTGGTGAGGGGACTGGAGGTGAAGCAAAGGCAGTCATGTCAACATGATTCCCCCTCCCCCGTATTTATGGTATTAAATGAACTGCAAAAAGGAAAACTAAATTTGATGCACACACCGTGTTAGTGCCAGGATTTTTCTGAGGTACCACAGAGACCCACTCTAAGTTTTGTGACTTAAGATTAAGTGCATTTCCAAGTAGATATATGAGAAGGAAACTGTGCAGACCCAATTGTCAAGCTCAACGTAGTGCAAAGCCCCAAGACAGTAGTATCTCAAATCATTTCCATTCTTAGTGAATTATTTTCTTTGACCTCATCACCAGCATTGGATTGTTCAGTCCAAGGGCATGTCCTTGTAGGTCTCGCTCTTCACAGAGTTTGCTTATTTTGAGAACCTGCAAGAACAATTTTGATGTCACATCTCTTGTCAGGCCACCAGATGATTACCATGATCTGGCTTAAAAAAAAGACACACACAACCTGAAATACGATTATTTCATCTTAATAACGTGACTTTCCACAGGCAACATGAGATTGTGGAGGGAGGGGTGGGGCCTCATCGAAAACACATGTCAGTGATTAATGGATTCATTCAAATTGCCACACTTGGGTCACTACAGGCAAGAAAAGTGCTACAAAAGCATTTAATGGCCCCCACTCCCTCCCCGCCCTCCCCCCAACCAGTTAAAGGTATGGAGAATGGAGCTGGCTGTTGCTGAGAGAGTAGGTACCAATCATGGAGGAAGACCCTTAACGATGGCTAAATATGCAAGTACTGACAATAAGAGAAGATTAGGAATGCGGGATAAAATGCCAAAGATCATTTTATTTCTTTGTCTATTCTTCGTAGAAATGGGAGTCCCCAACTATCCATTCAAAAGAAATTAAATAGAGAGAAACAGGTAACATAGGATAGGATATCCTTATTCGTGCCATGTTTCCCAAAACCCGTTTGTGTTTAAGGCATCTCATATCTTCCCAGCCATCCACATGACATGAGCATTAATCAGTATGACCACTTGGTGCTCAGTGTCAAATAAAAGATATTTTAGTTGGGCAGAAAAATATGATTTTATGTTTTAAGGACTTGGGAGGATTAACTAAAAATTCAAAGAAAAGAGGTGATTCAACTGGCCATAATCAACCTAGGTAGATATTATTACGAATCTTAACCATTTATTACATCTCTTTCTCAATGAATCTAGTGTTTTAATTTATTTTCTACTGGCAGAGGAGAATAAGAGACGTAATTTTTGTATTCTACCCTTGAAATAAAATTGAAATAGAATTAAAAATATTTCTTGACCGACTGGATTATGGTATACATAAAACCCATTTGTTTTGTGTAGACATTTCAAATAACAAAACAGGAACGCTGAGATAACTCTACCCATGCAGCGACTGAAACACTTTTCTTATATTCCATGAGGAATTCCATAGGGAAGAAAGATAAAGAATTAAAGTGAGTTAGAAAATCCATGTTATGACCGGGTTTATAAAACAGTTGTGGGATCCAAGTATTTAAAATGCTACAGGAATCAATTATTGCCAACACTTTGCAACAGTAGTAATTCTGGCTTTTCAATTGGTGATATTGAGAATCCTACTGTAGTGACCTGATTTTAAATACCATATTATAATTATTAAGTTAAGAGCTAGTTTTCACTCTATGCCATGACTTCATTAAATGAATGTAAGATGATGGTTTAACACTGACAACTTATACTTTAAATTTCTTTATGTATATGCAATATACATCCGAGAACCAAATTCAAGAAGTGACATGAATGTTATTACATGAGCATTGGATTGTATTGTCCTTTGTCAGTCATTCCTTCTGTTCAATAAATACTGAAGGACAAAACTCCTTTTGATTTTTCAAGAGCTTGGTTTTTCTTCTGGACTGTGGTCATTCATTTGGAGACTTTCCTCACATGCTTCTTCATCTATTTGAGTGGGACTGTTTTTGGCAAAACAGAAGGGAACAGGACAAATATTTTACAAACCCTTCTACCTGGAAGCTAATGTCAAGCAAAAAGGGTACATTTTGATGGTAAAGAACTCTTTTTAAAAGAGATAAATCATCCTCCTTGTCCTTAGATGGAAAGGAAGCACAAGTGTTTTTTCTACCCATGAATGAAATCTGATAACCTGTCATTTCTTCAGCATTTTTGTTCATATTGGCTTAAAGTTCAGGTGCATGAGCAACCTTACATTCGTATATGTAACATGTCTAGTTTGATTGGAAACATGAAATATTTAATACATCAATGCCCTTCTAAATTAATGATTTGATCATCTTTGGAATAAGTAGGCAAGACCATTTTTCCAACAGTTGTTTCTATGCTGTGGATAAGATTAGAGCTAACCTGTGGATAACAACTGCTACTTCTAAGCTCTATTTAAATGGCAGAAGTTTCTCAAGCCAGGAAAAGAGAAGAGTCTTTCGAACTCTTTCAGAGAAGAAGGCGATCCTAAACCCAGGACCAAGACCCTGGCATTCTTGGGCTTCCGCTCTGCCATCCTTCGTATTTTTATAAAACTGCGATGGGAATCCATGTACAGGGATTTACAACAGGCAAAGAGACTCTGGATTCGGTGCCTGTCTCAGATGCCAAAGAGCCCAAGGAGCCAGATGTCCTGGCAGCTGCCTGTCTGCCTCATCCCGAGAGAAAATTTTTACTTTGAGTAATGTTACTTTTTTTTTTTTTTCAGTTCTAATTCTTGGCATTAAAAAAATTTACTGGTGACACTTTTGTGACTCAATATAAAATGGCTCTGTGTCCTGTTTCAGTGTGAAAAGCTCCTCTTAGACAGCATCTCCACCATTTGCATGGCGAGGAGAGACATTAAGACAATGGCTCTCAATGAAGATAAGAAAGCAAACAGATTCAGTGGGTGGGAAGCAGTACAGTTCACAGACATCAGCGTAATTACATCTTTCCCCTTTGTATTAGGAAAATAAAATTGCTTCTTTATGAGTGTCTTTTACTAAACAGAATTAAAAGAGGGAAGTGTGAGTTCACAGGGGAAGTCACCATTAAGTCAGCTAGAAGTAAAGCATTTACACAGCTTATTATTAAACTCAACAAAAAAGAAGTGGTACATGATGAAAACCATGGCCTAGATACCCTAGAAAAATATAATTGCATAGAAAAATTACAAACTGAAGTGATCCATTCACAGTTTCTACATGAATTCTCATTGGACACTGACTGAGGCCTCTTCAAAGGGGGAAAAAATATCTTTGGCTGACAAGGCAGAAGCTCTCACGTCTTCACGGCAAATACGGCATCAGATGATGGGTGCTGTCATGGGATGAAGGACAGTGGGGGGCTTTCAACGTGAACTGCAGCAAGGCAAAATATTCCATTTACTGTCTTCTAACCCTAGGAGGAGCCTTAGAATTGGGAGAGCTGCCCATCAAGAGAATGATGGGCCCTCAAACTTGGAACCTCTGTCCCCACACCCGAGGAGATTGAGTCAGCAGGCAGCCTCTCTCCAGTGTGTCCCAAGCCTGCACGACATGCTAAATCGCAGGAAGGCTGTGTCTCTGCTGGGGTGTCAGCTCTGGGTGCCACACATCCACGATGAAGATCAGCCGGAAAGACACAGCGTCCTGCCACACCTCGTGCTCGAAAGAGTCATCAAAGATGAGCACCTTGCCTTCTTCCCATGTCCTGGAACAGAAAAACACGAATTCAGAGGTCTGAGAGTCAATCCCTGGATATGTGGAGATGGGCACTTTCACGGTAACCTGTGGGATCTGACCAGGAAATTGGAACACGGAGCCAAGACCGATCCTTCCCTTGGTGATTAGGAAAGAATTTCAGGATCTTTACCATGAATATAGTTTTCAAAGTCCATCCCTGAGAGTGTGCAAAGGGCAAGCCACTCATGATAAGGGCAGACTTATCACTGTGACCTTATCACAGGCCCTGCCATTATTCTTGGTCCAAGCCTAGGTGAGGCTTGTTGAGGCAGGCAAGCAGGCAAAGGTGTTGCTCGTGCCCACGGGGACTTCCTGGTCATGTGACTGCATGCTATCCTCCCCGGCCTTTCAGAAAGTGGTCTAGACCTGTGGGTAGCACCTGGGGTCAGGCTTCTCAGTGCTTTGTATGCTCCCTGGCATGGGGCCATCGCATCTCCAAGGTATTTGCTCAACCCCTTCCATTTGTTGGCCTTCCATTTTATGGAAGAAAGTTCCATTTTAGGGAAGGCAGATTGGGAATGAATTTTGTTTCTATTTTGAATGTCACCTGCAGTGCAAGTGGGTTATCTCTGGAATATTTTAAGTCAAAGCCACGAGAAACATCCTTCAGGGCCTCCAGCATTACTTCGTAAGATATATGCATAGGAGCTAAGACCTAAACATTGTGCTCGTCTAAATAAAGCAGTCAAGAGAGAAATGTGCAGGGGCAATTACACAGTGCCTTTCCAATCCAAAGAAAGTTTATTGCTGGTGCTACTGTTCTCCTCTTGTTAAAATAGGCATTATTGCCAATATGGTACATGCTGAGTTCTGTTTTTAAGATGAAGTTTTTACCAGGAAACTTTCTTTAGATACTCAAATTCCACTCAGGCATTTGCAATTTTATGTCCCCTGACATAAAATTAGCAAATAATTAAAATTATAGGATGGAAAATGCTAGCTTGATTTCAAGTTACCGCATTATCATAAGGAAATCTACCTTCAGAAATAATATTTGTGTCTTTTTTAATGCTCATTACTAGGGGATTAATCAATAGTAAATTAGGTAATATGTCATACTGCAGGGTTTCTCAGTCTTGGCACTAGGGACATCTGGGGTCAGATAATTTGCTATTGGGGGTCGTCCTGTGCTCTGTGTATGTTTGTCAGCAGCTCTAGCCTCTACACACTAGAAGCCAGTAGCACGTGTTCTCCCACCAAATCACAAGAACTAAAACTGTCTCCAGTCATTGCCAAATGGTGGCCTGGTGATGGGGGGCGTGAGAGGCAAATTTGTCCCAGACATATTGCATTAATATGACAACAACATTTCTAAGTTATTTAAAGTAAATGATAAAGTAACGAATATTTGCAAGTTGAGTTCCTTGGAATTGAGAATCAACCTCCACGACAGCTACTGCCCCACTCTACATGCTGTCCCACACGCCTAGCCTGATACTTGCATTCAGTAAATGGGCTGTTTAACTCTTCTGTATGATTCCTATTAAGGACCAAAGGGTTCTATTGGAGTTCCATCCAAGTGTAGCCAAGAAATATAGAGACCCAGGTACAAATGACAGAATATGTATTATTACAATGTAAAAACCAAACTTGGAAAAAAAGGGCAAAGTTAAGAAGAGAAAAAAAAAATGAAAAGAAAAAAGAAATGAAATGACCCACAGCTTACAGAGTTTGGTGGTGATTTTCTAGGTCTTGGAGTTATTGGTGGAACTGTGCAATGTCTATGGGTACCATGGACAAGCCTAAATATAGGCAAAAGATAAGGGGGGGGCGCTTTCAAGAGGGAAAGCCAGGACACCCATGTGCACAGCAGCTATACTCACTGTAGCCAAAAGGTGGAAGCAACCCAAGGGTCTACTGATGAATGAATGGGTAAGCAAAATGTGGGATATGCATACAATGGAATATTATTCTGGCTTACATAAAAAGGAATTCAGACAATGCTACAACATGGATACTGTGACCTTTTGCTATATAAAATAAAGCCCTCATACAAGAACAAATATTGTGTGACTCCACTCAGAGACGGTATCCAGAGTAGCCAAATTCACACAGACAGAAGGAACAATGGCGAGTTGTGGTTTAGTGTGCACGGGGCTTCAGTGAGATGAAGAGTCCTGTGAAAGGACGGGTGCCAGCGATGGTAGCATGATATGATGGTATGTAACACCACTGAACTGTGCGTACATTTAGAAATAGGGCGGTAAATGTTACATTCTGTGTGTTTCACCACAAATGAAATGGGGAAAAAAAAAAAAAGGAAAAGGAAAAGCGAAGCATGTGGTAGAAGAGAAGGGGAGAGAAACAGCAGAGTGCAATGGAGAAGTTATGGCCCTGAAGGGAAGTGGATTTAAACCTTAGCTCTGCCATTTACTACTAACGTGACCTGGGGCAAGTTGCTCGGCATCCATGAGCCTTTGTGTCTTTTTCAGCATAGCTGATGTGAGGATTAGCATATGACCAGCACATAGAAGATACTCAATTAACGGTAGAGAACACAGAACAGAGGAGGAAGGAAAATACAGGAAGAAATAGGGAAAAGATAAAAGAGGTGATAATGTATGGGGGTGGTATAATGTTATCAAAAATAACCTTAGTGGGGTGCCTGGGTGGCTCAGTGGTTATATGTCTGCCTTCTGCTCAGGTCATGATCTCAGGGTCCTAGGTTCGAGCCCCACATTGGGCTCTCTGATCAGCCGGGAGTCTGCCCTTCCCTCTGTTCTCTCTCACTTTTTGCTCTCTCTGAAATAAATATACAAAATCTTAAAAAAAAAAAAAAACAAAAAACTTTGGCTTCATGCATGGATTTGGCTTCATTTGAGAAGACTGAAAATCTTGTAAGGGGGTGGGTGAGATATCAAAAATCTTCCATAGAATCTGCATTATACACTTGGGCTGCAATAACAAGTGGTTCTCAATGTTTTCTGAGTGGCAGAGACTCCAGAATCTACTTAAAATATAGGAAGTAATTTATTGACCCAAAGAAAATTCTAGGTTGTGCAAAATTTTATTTTTTCACTAGATTCTGATAGGTGTAAGAAAGCCAAATGCCCTGATGAAACAATTTTTTAAAAGATTTTATTTAATTATGAGAGAGAGAGAGAGAATGGAGGAGGAGAAGAAGGAGAGGGATAAGGGGACTCTGCACTGAGTGTGGAGCCTGATGCAGGGCTCGATTTCAGGACCCTGAAATCATGACCTCAGCTGAAATGAAGATCAGACGCCTAACCGACTGAACCACCCAGGTACCCCTAAACCACTTTTTTTTTTTAAACAAAAAATCTAGGAGGTATTCCAAAGAGTTGGATTCTTTTAGGGCCATCAAACTCATGGGGAAGTGTGTCCCATTATCTTCTATTTGCCCTTCCATTTTCTTTCCTACATTTTCCCAGAAAACAGCAAAGATACCCAATCATTTAACATAGATTCCTTTTGAATACTTCAAAACTACTGTCTTTCCATCACTTACTGAGAGTTAAAGTGACAAAAAATGCAGCCCTCATTAAACTCAAAGCAAAGAACAATAAAACCCCATCCAAGCAACATGCAGGCTGGGTAACTGGGGTTAAGAAGAGAGAGATGGCTTTCCACCAAACAAGATAGAGCTAAAGAAGTCAAAGGTCTTTAGTTCTCTTCCGAATCACAAAGACTAATCCTAGTGAGGCCAAGAAACAGTATTCAGGCCACTTGCTTTGTGAGCAAAGCTCTACCACATGAGATTAAATTATACTCAAAGTATGACATGAAAAGCTCCCTCTGAAGAAAGGATTTCTCAGAGTCGCCTTTGAGCTTCCTGATGGTGCTCCCGTGCCTTTCTCTGAGGATTCAGAAAAGCAGGACTGGAGCGGGGATACTGTACCTTCTCCCCAGAGAGCTACCTCCTCTGACCTTCAGAGTTTCTTACCACTACAAGAAGAATCCCTCTCCCTGGTTTGCAAAGGATAAGAGACTATCTGGCTGAGGACAAAGTGATATCATAGGATTTTTCAATTTCTCAAGTTGTAATTAACAATCCTGATAGACTGGTGGCAGTAGAACCTAACAACCAGAACTGTGTCATGGAATTGTCATCAACGTTAATAATGCTACTAGGTGCTTACAGAGTCTTCCACCTAAAAACTTTATTGGTCATATCTCAGGGATCTTTGCTAAAATGTTCTGAGGTAGGCAAGGGACATGGTTCTAACTTTCCAGCAAAGGAATCATACGGAAGTGAGTTTGGATGTCTGCCGTAATTCTGTGGAAGAAGCAGAAAGTCGTTAGCTTTGCTTCATCAGAGCCCAAACGTTAACTCAAGATCTAGATCAAGGTTTAGATCAAGACTAGGGGATATTCTGTGTGCTGGGAGCTGCTGTGCTGAAGTGGCCTGTGAGGCATTGAAAAAGTTGAGTGGAATACAGAAAAGAGTCAAAGAGCTCAGGAATGAGGCTACTTAACACAGTGCTTATTAATTCTGATCTATTGAAATCTCTCAGGTCTGACTACATTAGAAATCTTGGCACCCACTAGAATTGAAACGTAAAACTCTTCTCTCTCTCTACCTAACATATTCAGACAGAAACATTCACACACATTCTCTATCTATCTGGACAAAGCATTTTTTTTGGAGTCTATGGCACCTGTGTTCTCGTTTTGACGGCTGCAGTTAGCCATGTGATAAAGCACTTCATGTAGGGGCCTCAGTTTCCCCATCTGTGCAATGACAGAAGTGGATAAGATGGAATCTAAGCCTCCTTTCAGCTCTACAATTATAATTCTCTGAGCTAAGCTATAGGTTAGGACTTTAGTCTTATTACATTTCACAGGATATACTCAACAAGCTTTCATCTGAGAAACGGGTTTAGCATTTGCTATTTTATTTAATGTCAAAATATGAATTCCAGTAAAAGATGGCTAACTTCACTAAGGGGCTCTCTTCCCAACAGATTGTGTACGTATGGACCTCTAGTGTTATCTCCCAGCCCCTCA